GGGGGGGGGGGGGGGGGGGGGGGGGGGGGGGGGGGGGGGGGGGGGGGGGGGGTAGGTGCTTAGCTTTTTTGTACAAGGCATACCCCTCATCGCGTGTCATTGTGGTGCCTGCCACGCTGCGTGCCATGCACGAGAGCCATATCTCTACCCCCTTGAAATATTGAAAGAGCTCGGCCAGCTGTCAAAGCTGACAGGAGGTGTAATTCTTGATCGACACTTACAGGCCATCAAAGAACATGTCATTGCTGGCAACTGCCCAAGAAGTCAGACTGGGAGGCCATCGAGTCGGCGCGGGGGCGACGAAAGCTTGCCAACACCTCTTCCTTCGTCGCACCCACCAGTTTTCGAATTCAAGCGTCTCAATCCGCTGCTCTTGACAGTTCGTTGCTGCTGTTCGTGTGTTTGGATGCGGACTGGTTAGATCTACCGGCAACAACAGAGGGCACGCATATGGGGCATATGTACACCTTGAAATGGTTCCATGTGCGGGGACCCCTCGAACTCCAAAGAGGGCTTCACTTCTCCCTACTCCCCTTGCGTGCCTGATACAAGAGATAAAACGTCTTCCCCTTCCAAGCAAAGGACATATACGAACACACTAGCGTCAGTCCCTCGAGGGAGAGTCCATTAGGAATGTCAGGTCGCAAAGATGGGGGTGACTCCTCCAGCGACTCTGCTGCGGAATACAGAAAGAGGTCAAGAGAAGAGCTCGTGGCCCTGAGGACGAAAATCAGCTCGCTGACGGATCAGATAAGCCAGCTAATATCGCTAGTGGAAGATACCATAAAGGCAAGCAAGAAGGAGGAGCCAGCTGGCACCATGGAGGGTGCCGTTGATCGCAGCGGTGCTAGGGAGAGCGCCGCCGCGGAGTCCACGAACGCCGAAGGAGGGGCACCGTGGACCGGGAGTGCGCAGGACGGGAGGTACCTGCGCGAACCTGTTCGAGACTTTGACCCGTCAGGGCGACACAGCGGCGAAGCAGGGGGCTTTGTCCCCCAAGAGGTGAGAGTAGCCGCTGCTCTCAACCAAGATTATAGTAGTGCCATGGGAGATGGTGGTGCTGCTGTTGGCTTTGGATACGGAGCCACGACCCCAGCGACGGGGTACTAAAGTGTGCGGTACAATTCTCCTCCGTTCAGCGGGAAATCGAAAGATTTCAACGAATGGCTAAGTGATTTCCGCGTGGCAGCTAATGGCGCAAACCTGTTGGAACAATTTGAAGAGAGCGGGAGCTTGGAGATCCCCGTCAACAGCGGAAAGAGCAACTTTCCGCTGTCACAGCAGTACCAGAGCGAGCGAGTAGAGCTCGCATTCCACGCGTGGAGCTGCCTGTCTCACGCGTTGAAAGAAAAAGATCGGAAAATCATGAAGAGGGCAGAGACGCCCCAGGGAGCTCTTCGTGAGCTCAAGACCATACACGACCCTGAATCATCTGTACAGCCGTCAGAGGACCTCAAGTCCCTGACGTCGACCAAGATCTCTAGAGGTGAAAACCCCCAAAACGCCCTAAATGAGATGCTCCAAACCGCAAAGTCCTTAACCGAGAAAGGACTAACTGTCAACGAAACGTTCGTCCTTCTCCTCTTCCTGGATACCCTTTCGGACGAGTATGCCATGACAAAACACAACCTGCGACACGCGAAGGAGTTGACGCGGACCGGTGTGCTAAAGGAAGTAATGATCGAATACAAGGCGATCAAGGACAAGCTGGAGCAGGGGAAAGGAAAAGGGGCGAAGGGCGCAGAGCAAGCGTACTTCGCCGACGGTGAGGGCCGCAGGGAGCGGAACTCAAGTAGGAGTCAGGGGCAAGGTCGTGGTCGTGGCGGCGGCCGTGGCCGCAGCAGCATTCGTGGCCGCGGCGGTCGCTCAGGCGGATCCGGAGGAGTCGAGGAGAGCAAGGGAAGCAGCAGTGGAGGCGCCGATGGCGGCGGTGGNCGGCGGCGGTGGCTGCAGTAGCGGTCGTGGCCGCGGCGAAGGCGGTCGCGGCAGCGGCGGCGGCGGCGGTCGCGGCGGCCGCTCAGGCGGATCCAGAGGAGTCGAGGAGAGCAAGGGAAGCAGCAGTGGAGGCGCCGATGGCGGCGGTGGCGGGGACTATAAGTTCCCGGGCCGGTGCTTTAGGTGTGGACATCGTGGACATCAAGCGATCGGCTGCACTACCAACGAGAAGGACTTCGTGCCGTGGTGTGCGCGCTGCGAGGGGTGGGGCCACACCAAAGAAAAGTGCGCGACGGAGGAGGCCGTCCTAGCGCAAGTGGTGGAGCATGAGAGCGACGTGGACTCCGTGGAAGACCAGGCGTTTTGTGCCGTGGCAGTCCCCCCAGGCGAGTGTGGTACCGTTGGTGAAGTAGGTCTTGTGGGGGTTGTGGAACAAGGCCAGGCGGTGTACGTGGCCGACACAGCGGCCACGTGCTCCATGTTCCGATGTGCAGACAACTTCGTGAACTACCGTGAGTGTAGCGGTTGGGTGAAGGGGATCGGAGGCGACAAGGCCCCCGATCCTCTTCTAGGATACGGAGATGTGACCTTAGTCCAACAGACGGAAGATGGTGGAGTACTCGTACCAGTCCTGAATGCTGCCCATGTACCAGAGGCCCCCTACAACCTCCTCTCGCTGTCTTCGTTGGCGGAGGAGGGCCACACGTATTCGGGGATGAAGGGGGGCCTCACGCTGACCACGAAAGCCGGGGNCTGCCCATGTACCAGAGGCCCCCTACAACCTCCTCCCGCTGTCTTCGTTGGCGGAGGAGGGCCACACGTATTCGGGGATGAAGGGGGGCCTCACGCTGACCACGAGAGCCGGGGGGGCGGTATGTTCCCCCGGACTGTAAAGCTGCTGAACCAACGAGGCTATCAAATAAAGCCAACGCTACACACCGCTTGTGCCGCACTCATTGTTCCCGGCGATGCGAAAGCAGTCACCCCCACTGACCTCAACGAGCACCACCTCGCGCACAGCCATACCCACGAGACATTGCTCAGGATCACGGCGGAGCAGCAGGGAGTGCAGCTGACGGATGGACCGCTGCTACCCTGTCTTGGCTGTTTGATGTCCAAGGGACAGGTGAAACCCGTCCAGAAGAGCACGAACACAAGCGCAGTTAAGAAGTTATTTCGCGTGTATCTCTACTTGGGGGGAAAGATGAAAACCAGGAGTATTGGTGGCAACTGGCACACACTGATAATCAGTGACGATTTCTCCCGTTGGACGCATGTTTTCTTCTTGAAGTTTAAGTCTGACGCAGCGGTCGGGTTTGAGAAGTTCGTGGCGGATTACCGAACGAAAGGGGTTCCGTGTGAGGTTTATATCGCACGTACCGACGGTGGCGGCGAGTTCCAGGGGCAGTTTGCGGAAGTTTGCCGCAGACACGGCATNATCTCTACTTGGGGGGAAAGATGAAAACCAGGAGTATTGGTGGCAACTGGCACACACTGATAATCAGTGACGATTTCTCCCGTTGGACGCATGTTTTCTTCTTGAAGTTTAAGTCTGACGCAGCGGTCGGGTTTGAGAAGTTCGTGGCGGATTACCGAACGAAAGGGGTTCCGTGTGAGGTTTATATCGCACGTACCGACGGTGGCGGCGAGTTCCAGGGGCAGTTTGCGGAAGTTTGCCGCAGACACGG